CGGCTTTGTCTGAGGAGCCTCAGAGAGAATTTTAATTCATTCAGGGGTAAAGAAAAAAGTGCTTCTTGGCCGCTCGCTGAAATAGAAATTTGACAATACAAAACAAATGGATGATTAGTAAAAGCTACAAAATATTCCTGCTACCATCAATTGTCTTCGGAGCAGGAAAGGGACTTAGTACTAAGATACTAAGTTGAACAAATGAGGCAAATTGTACCTGTCAATGTCAGTTAACTCAGCCAAAAATAATCTTACTAAGGTTTTAATCAGTACTTTACTCCCATAATTTCATCCCCTATCTGAAGATTAATAGCACATAGTAGGTGCTCAAAAAATATCAGTTGAGATTCCCTTGAGGTCCCTAATTCCCCATCCCATGAGAATGACTGCCATGACCCTTTAGTGGATGTAAAGTATCTATTTCTAGAGTCTCATCTCACCAGACAGCTGAAAGGTGTCTTAGTCTCAATTTCCCACATAGTAACTATACCCACAGTAGGTTCTCAAAAAACATAAAACTCTTATCTCTTAGGGGTTCTGTTGAATCTTTCTGCTTCCAAGATATTTTCCCCTCTCATTAACTCCAGAGTTGAAAGCTACCCCTCACTAATGTAGTAAAGAGCCCAAATGAACTATCTATATTCCAAGATTGTATGTCACCAGTCTGTGTGTGTTAAAAAAATCGGTTAATGGCTAAAGGAAGGCATGTATACTTCATTTCACTTCCATGGTTAATCCTGATTCCCATGCTTAAGAGACAAAAATCCTGTATCTTGTATACTATTTATAGCTCAATTAATTAAAAGAATCCTCTAACTCTCCAGACAGGGCAAAAACCCTTGATTGCTGGAGGACAGTAAACACACTTTTTCTCTCTCCCCCTCTCTCCTCTCGTGCTAAGCAGTAGGTCCTTGGTAATTGTCGAGTTTACATATATTATTGTGTATTACATATATTACATATATATTGTGTACGTTAATCTCAATAATCTAATTTCTCCCTCCCTCCCCCCGCCCCCCGCCTCCCTTTCCCCTCAGGATCAGTCTCACGCCAAGCCTCAGGCCTTGGTGAGGGAATAGCTCACTGTCTTTCCCTCCAAGGGTCCCTCCACCCTTGGATATCCACCCCTTCAACCCAGTACCAGCACCCCCCCAGCTGCCTCTCACCCTCCTCCACTTCCTGCAGCCCTTGCTCTACTTCTTTTCCCAGGAAGGTCCACTCCTTCATTCTTGGACTCACTGAACACCTCACCAGTGGCCACAAACTGGTTATAAAGGTGAACAGCTAGGATTCTCCCTGCCCTGTAACTACCAACTCCAGTGTATGATGGAATGGTGACCAGGTGTGACATTTAGAGGAATGGTGATTCAAGTCTTCGGGAATGCAGATAGAGAAGATGAGGCTGAGATGGGGGGTGGGGTCAGGGAGCAATCAGTATGCAGTCTTTTTTTTTTTTTTTGAAGTATATTTGATTTACAATGTTGCATTAGTTTCTGGTATACAGTAAAGTGATTCAGTTATACATATATATATATATATATATATATATTCTTTTTCATATTATTTTCCATTATGGTTTATTACAGGATGTTGAATATAGTCCCCTGTGCTATATAGTAGGACCTTATTGTTTATCTTTTTTTTTTTTTTTTTTTGCGGTATGCGGGCCTCTCACTGTTGTGGCCTCTCCCGTTGCGGAGCACAGGCGCAGACGTGCAGGCTCAGTGGCCATAGCTCACGGGCCTAGCCACTCCGCGGCATGTGGGATCTTCCTGGACCGGGGCACGAACCCGTGTCCCCTGCATCGGTAGACGGACTCTCAACCACTGCGCCACCAGGGAAGCCCCTGTTTATCTATTTTATATATAGTAGTTTGTATCTGCTAATCCCAAACTCCTAATGTATTCTTCCCCCACCCCCTTTCCCCTTTGGTAACCATTAGTTTGTTTTCTATGTCTGTGAGTCTGTTTCTGTTTCATAAATAAGTTCATTTGTGTCATATTAGATTCCACATATAAGTTATAGTACGCAGTCTTCTGAAATGATCCAGTCTGGCTCCAGAAAGAGACTGGAAACAAACCCTAGGAGGCCTCTGAAGTAACCCAGAGACCAGCTGACCAAGGTAAAGCAATCAGAAAGGAAAGTCAGTGAAATGGGTCCAGGGCTCCCAGTCAGAATAATCAGAGGGTACTGGTGCCACTAATCTGACCAAGAGAAGAGCTACCTGCATTTCTGGACATGCTGGGTGAGGGTGCTGCCTGCATCCAAGAGTGAACACAGACACAGGCCAGGATGGGGTCTTCTGATGGTCCCAGAGGCAGGGGGTGTGGTCAAGAGCATGGGCTTCTGGAGCCCAAGTGCATGGCTTCAATGTCCAGCCTTTACAGAAAAGCTAGTGACCTTGAACAAGTCACTCTGTGCCTCAGCTCCTTACCAGTAAAACAGGGATGCTGATAATAGTATCTACTTCATGGTGTTGTTATGAATGTTAATGAGCTAACATATGCAAAGAGCTTAAAACCACCTGGTACACAGTAAATGCTATATGTGTTTGCTCTTGAGTTTCAAAGTGTCAGTCAGCACAAAACACTGGGCTTGTCTATCAGGGGACAAGTGATTCTGATGGGGCTAGTTTTGGACAGGTGAACCTAAACTTTCCCTGCCTCAGACTACAACCCAGACTATGTAAAATAATAGGGATTTCAGAAGAGTTCAAATCAAGGCCTTTTCAAAAGACTGTAAAACTCAAGCTTCAACCTTCTCTCCTAATTCTTCCTTCTAGTAGCAACTTTAAAAGATCCTTCCAAAATATTCTCTCTGATTCTCTCCCTATTTCCTAACTGGAAAAAGATGCCTGCTGGAAACAGGCAGCTTTGCTCACCTAAACTGGGAGGCCAAGTCCCAGCTTGCACACCTGCTGAGTTAAGGCCTGACTCAATTCTGCCCCCATTGGTAATTTGGAGGAAATACACCCAAGTGTCCCTGAGACACTTGACAGGCTGCAAACGTAGAGAAGACTACAAGAAAGACCTTTTCACATTGCTGTGCTTAATCATCACAACTCCCTAAAGTGAAGAAGGTTGCTGTTGTCATCCCTGTTTTACAAAAAGAAATTGGCGGTCCAAAGAAGCCAAGTGACTTGCTCAGAGTCCTGTGGTTAATAAACCACAAAACAGAGATTAGAACTCATTTCTACATACCCTGATTAATTCTCTTTCCAGTTTGGGACTAAAGCTATGACCCCTCCCCATTCCAGGCCAGGAAGGTTCCAGTCCTAGCCTCTATCCTCTGGTTTGGGGGAGGGTAAATTTGTGGTCCTAGGTTCCTTCCTCTGGACAGGGGGTGAGTAAATTTAAATGTCCTGGGGCAATATTCAACCAACTGAGAACACCTGTCCTGAATTAATGGTCCTCCAGCTTTGTATCCTAGGACTTGCCAAGAGATGACTGTCACAAGGGTTAACTCACTTCTTGGGCAAAGAAGCCCAACGAAGTTGCCAAGGTCCTGCCGGATCACAGACACGTTCTTAAATAAACTGAATTAAAGTGCAGAGCAGAGCCTTATCCCAGGATTGAGTTAGAAAGTAATAGCCACTTACAAGCAGACTAAAACTCAACTAAACCAGCGGCCCTCTGCTCCCTACTCCAGTCTGAGGCTAAGTAATGTCATGGTATTTTGCGGTTCATCTACCACGTCTTTGAAAACACTGTGATGGCAACCCAACTTCCTCTCCTTTGCTCTCAGGATCCCCAGAATGGGAGTATGAGCAGGTCGCCCCACAGAAAGATAATGTCAAAACATTTGCCCAAAAAATGTGTTCCCATTGAGATACAGAAATTTCAAGTATGTAATTGAGCAACGCTCTGTCATTGACTCACAGATCTGGACACCCTCCACCCCCGCCCACCCTCTCGTCTCAAGTCCTAGCTGAGGCCCAGGGCCAGGAGCCAATCCCGAAATCCCGAGCGTTTCAGAAACTCAATTCTCCCCAGAGAGCGCCTGGGGCCCAGCGTAGCCCCACCCACTCCCCATACCAAGAGGCACAGAGAGCGAGGCTCCCCGGCGGGGCCAGAGGCTTTGTCTTACGTAAAAGACCTGGCCCGAGCAAGAGCTCGGACTTAGGCGGGGTGCTGCTGAGACAGAAGCGGGCAGACAGGTCAGGGCTTACGACAGGGAAAAGCTCATTTTCAGAAGGACAAAAATCTCCAGGAAGACGGCAAAGAGGGGAAAAGGGGGTGTTGGTCCTCTCGGAGAAACTTTTAGGTACACCAGAAGTAACACCCAAAGTCCCGAAGATGGGGTACTCAAGGCGGGGCGGCCCCGAGGCAGGCTCTGGGAATGGGCGTGGGGGGGCGTACGCCCCTCGCGGAGCCACAGTTCCGGGCGCCTCAGTTCCGGGGAAGGGGTGCGGCGGGCGGAGTTTCTCTGACCCTTTCCCAGCTTCTTCCAGCGTGGTCTTCTCCCCAAGCCCACCTCCGCAAGGCCGTGAGGAACGCTAGGGGGAATCGTAGGTCCCCAAAATGTGGTCCTTCAGCGCGGGAGGAACCCAGGCAACCCCGCGCGGCAGCGGAGCCTTCCCCCAACCCACCCCCCCGCCACGATTCTCCCCACGTGCTCTGGCCGGAACTCAGGCAGCGAAAGGGGGGGCTCCTCCCACGTGGGCCCAGCAGTCAAAGACTACGTGCCGGGTGGCCCGCCCCTCCAGAAAAAAAAAGCGCGAGCGTGCGCAGGGCCGCAGAGAGGGAGAGCCGCGCGGTGCGCGAGCCCCGGAGCCTCGCACGCGCGCACACGTCTGACTGTGCCTAGCGGACGTGGCTCCTCCAGCCCAGGACTTTCCCCGCCACGCTGATATTTTCCGCGTCCGCGGCCCGGAATGGAAAGGAAGCGGGTCCCCACAGGGTCTAAGAGGAGAGTCCCAGCCGGCCGGGACCCCGGAGAGAGGGCCGGGGACAAAGCAGTGTTGTCAGGCGAGCCAGCCGCCCCCGCCCGCGCTTACTTACCTTCTGCACTTGGTCATGGTTGAGCTCCGTAAAGAAGTAGGCGAGCAGATGCGAGGCGATCATCCTGCCGCGGCCCGACAGCGCCGAGATGGGAAACCGAGGCTGGAGCGCTTGCGGGGGAGGAGGGCGGCGCGGTCTGACCGCTTTGTCCGGGCTTGGAGGCCCGGTCGGGAGCGGTGAGTCCGGGAGGTACACAAAGAAGGCACACGATGGCGCGCCCAGCTGGAGGGTTTCGGGACTCTAAAAACAGGTTTTGATAGTCACAACTGCTGAAGGACCAAGAATCACTCCCAGCGACGTGCTGGGATGCCCCACTGTCAAGGTACTAACTTCAGCCACAGAATCACTAAGGCTCAACTTGAGAAGAATAGCAGCTTGGCTCCACTAGGGCGACAGGACCTCCCCGGCTCACACGCGCGCTGCTCTCGCCAGCGGATCTTCTCGGCTCGGTGACACACTGGTGCTAGCGGCGGTCCGGGACTCCTGCGCTGGAGTTTCGTGCAACAATGTGGCTTATTGAGGGATTGCCGGCTCGCGGGCCGCCGGGTCAGTGACGCACGCACGCCCATTGGCTGCGCGGGGAGGGTGTGTGTGCCCACGGGCCGCCCGCCGCCGCGGTGCAGCCAGTCAGAGCGGACGGCCCGCGGGCGCGGCCGCTCAGACACCCGAGCCGGCAAGCTGGAGGGGCGCACCCGGGGCGGGGGGAGGGGCCAGGCAGCATGGATGAGACGTGTGGTCCGTGGCAACAGGCTGGGGCGGAAAGGCGCATGAGCCACCGCCGCGTATGGTGGTGGCGGGGGGGGGGGGGGGGAGCACACGCCCTGGGCGGGGAGAGAAACACTGTCTGGCATCTCGGGGTCATGTGAGGGGCCCCCGCTACTGGGTCACATTTCTGAAGCATCTTAGTTCTCACCTATTGTGGCTCCAGACGTCCGCGCAATGCTGATGCAAAGTGAGCCGCCGCAAATGCTGCTTACTTTATGCCAGGCACCACAAAACTGAATGGATGTGAGTTTTACTAACCTTGTTTTACAGATGAGGAAACAGAGCCCTTAAGAGACTTGCCCAAGGTCACACAGTTAATGAGTGGCAGGTAAGGGAAGAAACCCACGTCCATCTGTCTTTGAGGCCCTATTCTTTTCCCTATTATATCATCCTGCCACTGTAAGAGCCGGAAAGTAAAAAGCAGGAAAAGAACTTTGTCTGCAGCTGTGGGACTGATGTGTGGGTGAAACAGGGTGGGTGACAAGTGTGTAACCAAATGATCCTGGACATGTGTGGGGTGGGGTGGCTTATGGATGCTGAGAGGAGTGGGAGCCCCAGCCACAGCTAATGCCCGGCATCAAACGTTTTTTTTTTTTCCTTTTTTTTTTTCTAATTTTATTGAAGTATAGTTGATTTACAGTGTTGTGTTCATTTCTGCTGTACAGCAAAGTGATGCAGTTATATATTCTTTTTCATATTCTTTTCCATTATGGTTTATCACAGGGTATTGAATCTAGTTCCCTGTGCTATACAGTAGGACCTTGTTGTTTATCCATCCTATATATAATAGTTGGCATCTGCTAACCCCAGACTCCCAATCCTTCCCCCCTCACCGCCACCTGCAACCACAGTCTGTTCTCTGTATCTGTGAGTCTGTTTCTGTTCCATAGGTATGTTCATTTGTATCGTATTTTAGCTTACATACATAAGTGATATCATATATTTGTCTTTCTCTTTCTGACTTACTTCACATAGCACAAGAATCTCTAGGTCTACCCATGTTGCTGCAAATGGCATTATTTCATTCATTTTTATGGCTGAGTAATATTCCATTGTATATACATACCATATCTTCTTTATCCATTCATCTATAGATGGATATTTAGGTTTTTTCCATGTCTTGGCTATTGTAAATAGTGCTGCAATGGACATCAGGGTGCATGTATCTTTTCAAATTATAGTTTTGTCTGGGTATATGTCCAGGAGTGGGATTGCTGGATCATATGCTGGCACCAGACTTTTACACATGGTGGAAGCCAGCAAGAGTGAGTGCAGCCTATGGGAGACTGGTGATTGTGGAGAATAGCAAGCCTAGGGTTGGAAAGTTCGCAGGGGAGGGAAGGTGAGGGTTTGCAGTGTTCTCCTGAGGAGTTTCTCCTTCTCTCATAAACAGTGGGGTGCTATCTGCAATGTATAATAATAATAATAAAACGCAATATTAAATGTTCATTGTTGGAAAATAAATATACAAACAGAAAAAAACATAAGCATCCATGATCTAGCCTCTCAGCAAAACTTCTTGAAAGCTATGTACCCTTGCCAACTACACATTCTCACCCTTCCCTCCCTTACTCCAATCAGACTTGGGTCCAAAACTGCTTTGGTCATAGTCAGCATAATGAAAGTGCCAAAGTGCCAAATCCTCTGTTCCTATCTCTTTTCTTTTTTAATTTAACTTACTTTTTTATTTGATGTATAGTTGATTTACAATGTCATGTTAGTTTCAGGTGTATGGCACAGTGATTCATTTGTGTGTGTGTGTGTGTGTGTGTGTGTGTGTGTATTCCTTTTCAGATTCTTTTCCCTTATAGGTTATTACAAAATACTGAGTATAGTCCCCTGTGCCACACAGCAGTAGGTCCTTGTTGGTTATCTATTCCTATCTCTTTTATACCCTTGTCTTACTCCACCTCTCAGGGATGTTGTGCACAGTTGACCAAATCCCTCATCTGGACACACCATCCTCTGCTAAGCCAGGGAAGCTCTACCCTCCCGGTTTCCCTCTAACCTCACTCTCCAGGTTCCTCAGCCCCCATTTTCACTACTGGTAAATACTGGCATATTCCAGGGCTGTCCTTCACCCTCTTCTCTGATCTAGTTACACTCTCTCCCTGGTGTTCCCTGCCAGCCCCATGACAGTTATATCATTTACGTGCTGATGACTCACAAATGTAAATCTACAGCCAGGACCTCTCCCAGAGTTCCAGACTTATTTCTCCAACTACCATTTGTCATCTCCCACTGAAGTGACTAGCATCTCACACTTAACATGTCCAAAGCTGAACTCAACTTTTCTTCCCAAATCTATTCCTTTCCTGGTTGTCTCAGCAAATTGTATCACCATCCACCCTAAATCATCCTTGATTCCTTCCTATTACTCACCTTCATATCCAGTTAATCCATCAGCAGTCAGTTTGATCCCTAAAATAGATCCTATTAATTGACCTCTTCTCTCCGTGTCCTCGGACACCTCCTAGCCAAGCCACCAGCAACTCAGCCAGAGCCAATACCACATTGTCCTACCTTGCCCCCTGCTTCCATTCATGCCTACCTCCACCCTGACCCCTATAGTCAGTTCTTTACTCAGGGGCCAGAGTGACCTGTAAAATATAAACCATTCTGTGTCTCTCCCGGGCTCAAGTTTAATGTCTTCCAAACTTAGAATAAAATTCAGACTCCTGACAATGGCCTCTAAGTCTTTATATGATATGGCCTCTGCCTCCCTGTCCACCCCACTCTACACTACTTTCCCCAGTACACTGCTTGGCACTCACACTAGTATGTTTTCCTCAAAAATGTCAAACTCTTTCCCACCCAAGGGCCTTAACTCTTCCTTTTTCTTCTTTCTGAAATATTCTTCTCCAGATCTGTGCCCAGCTGTCTCTTCCTCTATATTGAGGTTCAACCAAAATATCACCTCCTCAGAGGACTTTCCCCTGACCAGTTTATCTCAAGGAGTTCCCCAAGTCACTATCACATAACTCTGATTTCCTATTGATTTTCTGTATATTCTTTAGGGCAGGATCTGTACCTATGCTGTTTCCTCATATCCACAGGGCCTAAAATGGTGCCTGTCACATGGCGCCAATAAATATTTGTTGGATAAATGAATAGAAAAAATCTTAGAGATAACCATTTTTCACATTTTTTATAACAATTCATACACCCAACATCTCTCACCTGATTGCAACAGTCTCATAACTGGGCTTCCCTCTTTAGATATAGAAACACCATAGATATATAGGTTTAGCTATCCGACAGAGATTCTTAGGGAAGTGATGTGATCTGATTTGCTTTTTTAGGGCAATAATTGCCCTCTATGTGGGTACAGGGGAAGGAGGTCAGAGACCAGAGGCAGAAAGAGGCTGAAGCTGAAAGATAGGACCAGGGCCTGAATGAAGGTAAGGGTAGGTAGGGAAGTCAGGCTATAGGTTTAGATGTTTCAAAGTCTGAGGTGGAATTGATGGCTTTGGCTAGGAGTGGGGGAGGAAAAGGAGGATACCTACTTCTTAGAAATACTTGGAAACCCAACAGTCCAGTGCTACAAAACTTGTTGACCCCAGGCAGATGGGACCAAACCCAGTGGGTCATGTTAGCTATGATGGCTTCTCCACACACTAATTTTAGAGCCTTTTCCCCACTCCCCTCTTTGGTCCCATTTCATGGACCAGATAATAATCACAAGGTACTTTAAGTGCATATTATCTCTTACAAAGCTCCCAATCTGGGAGGTGGCTGGAATAGATATTGTTATAAGCCCCAACTGATACATGGGAAACTGAAAGGTATTACTCACTCAAGGCTGAGACTTACATCTTTGACTTTTCTGGCTCCAAACTCCACGCCTGGAATTTATTATTTATTGATCCTTAGATCTCTCTCTCTCTCTCTCTCTCTCTCTCTCTCTCTCTCTCTCTCTCTCACAGACACATACACACACACACACACACACACACACACACACACAAACGTTGAAGAGTAATAACACATCCATGTAATTTACATCCCACAACCCCAAGAGAGAAATCAATCAGCAAATATTTATTAAACAAACCCTTGCTATGTTCAGGACAGTCTGTTTTTGCACAAGGCTGGCTCTTGCCTCACATAGGACTGACCTGAGCCTGAGTGTTAGGCTTCAGGGAGCTGCCCTGGGAAGAGGCCACTTTGCCAAGAGACCTCTACTTGCCAAATATTCCTTTTTCTAATTAGAATTTATCAAGTTTGCAACATGTTATACGTAATGGGATTTCACAGAGAATTTTAAGACTGAGCATGGGCCTGCCCTGAATATAAATATTA